TGATACATTTGTAGGTACTTATTAGCCATAATTCTGGAGGACCGTTTCTGCTTATGCCCATGTGCCCTCATAGCACTAAAAAACAATGGACGCTGAGCATCAATGAGCAATGGAGAATCATTTTTGATGGCCCGATTCATGAAGTGATTACCCAAGTAATTGAAAAGAACAACATCATCCACCATAAGACACCTCTGTGTCGGATGACCAAGCTTACCACAACGTGTACAAAATTTATGTACACACTCATACTTACATCGAATTTTTCCCAACTTACCATTTCTTTTAGTGTAATGAAATGCTGGAGTGAGTGGATCTCCCGGATTAATCCAGATCTTTGCCCGGATTTAGGTAGCTTTCCTGAGATTGACACAGTTCTCTTTTATAATTGCAATATCCCCCAAATTCTTTGCCAGATCTCTAGTACCACGGTAATTGTAAGATGTGATGGCGGCTCCATGTATGCGAACCAAGACACTTAGCCTGTCAATTTGAAGGCTTTCCAATACCAAATCTTCCTTATCATACATCCTGCGAAGAATAAGAAGACCCCCATCAACAACATAAGGTCCATTATCTAAGACCATGAGGAGATTAGCCCTTGAAGCAAACTTAATAATGAAGAAATTTTGGTCATAATGCAAGATCCTAGTATACATGGGCCAGTTCTCTGCCATGTAAGCTTGCATGTCCCCATCCGTGAAGGATCTATCATCCAGGATATAGCCTAGCAAACAAAGTTTGAAATTATCCCGGGAGAGACTAGTATTGTAGTCATTAAGCATCACTCGCAAAGATCTCTCATATGTTGTTGAAATAAATTGAGGATGAACTTCAGTGGCTGGATTAAACTCATATTCTTCCTTAGAGAACTCGGATCCCTACAGTGACATATCTGTCACCGAATCTTCATCCATTGCATGCCTATGAGTCATGATGAAAAGGAAGGAAAAAGCAGGAAGGAAAGGGATAAAGCACAAAGGACTAGTACAACAACAACCCAGTAAAGATGAGTCAGCTACAGTGTAAAATTGAAAAGGACTTGAAGGAGCAGGGGAGAAGTTGAGCAGTCAAGTATGTGAAAAGGTGTTATACTTTTTCGGTAAAAGAGATCTTGAGCAGCCGGTTCATGAAGATCGAAAAGGCCATTAATGTCTCGAACCAACAAACAAACAAAAAGGGGGAATAAAAGGTTAAGACTTTATACTGACTTTACTGTCTTGATATTAATGTCAAGGGTCCGTGAGGAAATCTTTGTTATTAAAGCAAATCGGAGGAGATCTGATAAGTGCATGCAATTTTTAAGAAGGCAGATTTAAAAAATGGTTAACTGCATGTTGTCCAAATGGCAGAAATGAACCACTTACTGCCAAGTATTATTCCAAAAGCCAAATGAAAGTAAGAAAAGATGGAGAAGTGATAATGGCTTGTGGAACTGGATATGGAAGGAAAGGATATTGGGGTTAGAATGAAGGCATTCTCACTTGGAGAAAGAGAGAACTTTCTCTCTCTTGTGTTTTAGAGTGAGAAATGGTTTTCAACCTTAAACTGTTAATGTTATATTTCAAAAGAAAAATATTATATTTATAACCTCGTATTTGTTTCCCACTAAAAAAGACGACGAAAATGTAAAGATTTTTAAATATAAAATTTAGTATAATGAATTATAAATCTAATATTTCATGATTACGAGAATGTCAATTTTTTATGGTTATTGAAAAGATGACGAGAATGTCAAACCATTTTACGGCTATTGCATTGCAAACTTGATTTAAATACACTAGATTTTATATATGAACGGTAATTCTTAGAATTCTACCAAAACTATATGCAGTACAAATTCATTAAACATTTTCTTTCTTATAGAAATTCTGAGTCAACATTTTCTACTATGTAAAAATGATCTTGAACCTGGTGCCAGCGGATCATGTCCTTCACACCCGAAGAAAACACAGAGTATCATTTAAGTTACAAAGAACGCCACGGTTCAATTCAAGGAAAGAAACAAGAGGCATTTCGACATTTCACATTCAATTCATAAGAATAAGTTACAGATTTCACATTATATACGAACCAAAAACCCAAAGGTTCCTAAAATCCATACCCGAGTTTTTCAAGGATGACCCGATTGTAACCTCAGCCCACGGATGGTTGATTCTGTATCAGAACCCTTGTGAATGGTCTCCGCTACTATGGAATCCATCCGTTTGCCTCCAATAGATTTACAACCCGATCAAAACATACTCTGGACAAATCATCTTGACCAAGGAACCCATACATCCCGACAGCCCTCTTCTCGTATTCCTAACTGGCCATCCTTACAGCATTATATCCCGACCCAGTATTCTGCAACGACAGGGTTTATGTCTCCACATTTTCGAGGGGTAACATGGCGGAGATTGAGATCGTGTCCAAGAATCCGCAGAGGCAATTAGTCATCAAGCCAATTGGGATCGATGCCACAGGCTGTTATTGTATTCTCCCGGGCCTGTGACACAATGGACGAGTCGGGAATGGTTTGAATGCTGTGGCAACTTGTTTCTGATTTAGGTTGTGTTTGGGGGAATAAGGGTGAGTAAAGTGAGAAGCATTGTGGGTTTTTAAATTCGATTTCTTCCACAAGGTTTGGAATGTTGTTGAGACTTGAGAGTTGTCCCAATGTCGCGTTTTTTGTTGATCCGGGTTCCACCCCTATGGCTGTCCCGATTGCATTCCCTGATTCGGACCAGGCAAGGAATCGGGTTTAATTTTGCATGTATGCATGATGATGATACCACATTGTACACTTATCATATCCAACACAAAACCATCTCCGTCACTTTGCTTGATCCCGAAGTGCCAATGCCCTGGGAATTCCCAATTTGGGTGTTCATTCCTAATGCTGAAGCACTGGCTGAAGCTGAGCACGACTATCGTTCTGCTGCATTGCACAAAATTGAAACAGGGGAGATGTTAATGTTGAGTTTAAATCGGCCGACAAAGCTATGGTGCCAACGATATTGGATGCACTTTCTGTTGACATGTTGAGGAATATCATCTCTTCGTATCTGATGCTCAACAACCCTCTGGATTACCTCAACTTTCGAGCTGTCAACAAATGGTGTCGTTCCTTGTTTTCTACTGACGAATTTAGAAGGAGGAGGAGTTCTTGCATCGTTTCATGATGATGATTGTGAAGAGATTAATTGCAAGAGATCATCTTCTCCTCCGTTGCTAATGATTCATAATTCCATGAGGCAAGGCGGTGTTAGTTATATGTTGGATCCAGAGATACATTATGAATACTCTATCTGGTCGGTTGAAGAAATTGCCGTTGAAAGAGATGTTACAATTTGTTTCTCCGCTTATGGTTGCTTGTTAATAACTGAACTTATTTTATATAAGAAAGTAGGCTACTGAAGAAGGCATGCAAAGTTGTACAATCCCATAACAAAGTCTACAATACGTTTACCATATCCGCCAAGGCAAGACCACTTCTTCTTCACGTCATCCCCTGCCTCCTCAAATTGCATGGTTTACGCCTTTGACCAACTCGGCTCAGTCTTCTATTCTATCAGACCAGGAAAAATGAAGAAATGGGTTGAAGGACAAGTGATTCTTGAAAACAGAAAAGGGATGTTATGGATTTTGGAACAATCCAATCTCAACCCAGCCTACCTGGACGGATGCTTTTATATTCAGTGTCGAGATAAGAATTCTTGGAGTTTATAGGTTACAAGAATCCGGGGACTGCACCTTCACCGGGAATGATCCTAAATTACCGTGCAAAAGCCATCTCCAGGAGCAAAATTTCTTGGTGGGGATGTTGTATCCGCGATTGTTGGAAAGAGTAGGGAATGGCTAAGAGTTTTCAAGTTGGATCGTCTGAAAATGGTTTGGGAGGAAGTGTCTGATTTGAAGAATAAAAACTTTATATTTATCTACTGCATCGAGTGGTGTTATAGATGTCGAAACTCCTGAAAAGGGAAACAGGATCTATTTCCCAAGATTCTTCTATCGAGGCTCAGTCATATACTATTCTCTAAACACAGGCAAGTTTCACTACTCAAATACCAAGGATGGCAAACAAGACGACGTTGATGCCGGTGAGGACCCTTTAATGAGTTATGACCGATCACAAGAGCAATTGTATAGCTGTTGGCTTCAACCAAGCTGTTATTAGTAGAGGAGCGAATAGCATACATCCATATTTATGCTTTATGTGTTATTTTTCATTCATTGTTCAACTTATTTATTTATCTTTACACATTACTTCATTTTGCAATTTCAACATTCCTTTTATTTTTTGAACCCAATAAATACTTCTTCTAAGAAAGCATCTATCTGATCTACCAGAGGTTACAAATGCTGCAGTTCTCCCATGTTGCAATCTCTAAGCAGCAGGGGCCCAAAACTAATAACCATTATACAGAAAAGGCGACCAAAAGAGTCAAAAGACTTTTCTTTTACACATGAAAAGGAATAGTTAAAGACTAGTTAATGTATAACAGGAGCAAAGCTAAGAGCATCCTACAAAAAATAATGCTATCGAAGCAAAATGTACTCAATAAAGGCTCTGCAAGTTAGCAGCAGGTCCTTTCCAGCAAGATTTTCAAGTAACTACATTTACCTTAAAAAACTAATAGCAATACAGGACAAACATCCTTTAGCTTTTTAAGCGAAGAGCTACAATCACAAACTAATCCTGACTTCCACCCAAAACAACAAGAACAGACTGCATCTTTTCCTTTTGGAGATAAAGGGGGCAAAAAGAATATATAAAAAGAGTATAGGGTGAATCAGAAAATGGGTAGCTGAAGTTGAAAGAAACGAAGCTGGTTGCTTTTGCTGTGATCCTACTACACTTTGCTGTTCTGTGACGAAGGTAAAAGCCATGCTGCTACAGATTATGATGCAATTGGAGATAAGCCGAAGGTTTCTCCTGATAATCCTTGTTGAAGAGAGCAAGCCAAAAATGTTAACCACTCCACTACCGTTACAACCCACCCGGAGCCGACTATTTATGCATAATACATGTACAAGCTGTTTGCAGCAGCACAAGCTATTGAGTTCTCGGTTGGGTGCCATGCCAGATGGAGCAACTTTGTTGTAAAATCAAATGAGTTCCCATTCGCATCAACCCCTGGACTTTCAGAACCTGAACAGATATCCCAAGTTTTCTTATGAAATAGCCTAACAAAAAGATACCAGGAACTGCAAAGAAATTACTTGTCCTCCTCAAAGGCGATACATTACCTCTTCGGACAACACGGGTAATACTACTGCTCAGAGATCTTGAGGGCCGGGAAGGGGTCTGCACTTGTCTCCTAAACAAAGACGAAATCAAGAAAGTTAATACTTGTTACAGCTTTAATAAAGAAAGCATAATCACATACAGCTATTTCTTTTCTATTGCTCTATATGCACCTCATTGGGTTTTTGCTGGCTTCAAGAGTAGTTGCTTCAGTACTACCAGCTCCGCAACCAAACACACGAAATAAATTGCTGCAATTATATCATACACAATCAGCTGCAGTACTTCGAAGAATTTTCCAGTAACTTCTACATATTAATAAAGGGAGGCGTAGAATGCATGCCTGTAAGAACCAGTTGCTACTCGTTGACCATCCCCGCTCAGGCAGCACTCAAATTTATCAAAGATAGAATCATTTTCATATAAGTCGCATAGCTGAATATCAACAGTTTGATTTGTAAGTGTTAAAAAAAAAATGCCAGGAGAAAAAAATTGATAAAACTTAAATCTACAAAGTTCACCTTAGGTCTTAGATATTCATGAACTTGGAAGGTTGCAACAGGACCTGAATCCATGTTAATGTCCCACAACTGAACAAACCAAATGAACATAGGGTGAGAACTAACTTATTATAGCAGTGTAATTCTAATGTTTATGCAAAACTCGTTCACTAGTTTGCATATCTTGTAGCATCTCAAAACACAATGGCTAGTGGCATAGATACCTCATCAATAAACACAAACGCAAGAACTAGCTATAAATATGTCCCAATCATAGGGAAGGATTTCACTTTGCAGACTGGTTCACTTATGCAACAATAACTAAACCCCGTAACCCCTGTATTAAAAAGCCAGAAGCAGAGACAATTCAAAAGTCATACCTTAAGGGTCATATAATCACGGCTGAGAATATATCTACCATCTTTTGCGAATTTAATATCTGAAATCGAAGCTATAATCTCGGTGAAAAATGATCTTGAACCTGGTGCCTCCTGTTCTTCAAACCTAAAGACAGCACAAGTATCATAAGTTGCAAAAAACAGTCATAGTTCAAATCTACAAGGCGGGCTTTTAAAGAAAGAGCTAGTTAGAAAAAAAGGGGACACTCCTGGCGGAATTTCACAATCAACTTATAGAACTAAAAGCCGAAATTAGCAATCAGAGAACATGGAGAAACTATGAGTGCTTACAGTTTAGAATGTGAATCACACAAAGCTGACTGCCGCAAATCAATGAGACGAATCGATCCCTTTGAGCTACTATATGCTAACATATTACAGTGAGTAGGATGAAACTCTGCTGAAGTTATAACCTCTGCAGAAAGTACAGATTTGTAGTCAATGGCAGTGCATGTCTGACTGTAGAATATAAGCAAAATATTTACAGAACCAATAGTTCTGACAACATAACTGATATCTATACCAAAAATTTTTAACAACAAACTCATCTTTGTTTAGTTAATGATACAATGAACTACAGTTAACAATTGTGTTTACACCACCAAAACAGGAAAAATATCCATGAAAATTTGCAAGAAAATATCAGGACCTTCTATATAATCTTAATGAAAAATACAGCTTGCTAGAGCAGAGCAACCAGTTCTTTGAAATTTTCATGCACACATACTTGATTCAGGTATTCATTTCTGATCTTGAGAATGTTAATTTGCATGAATAAAACCAACTTCTTTATGAAAGCAAAACAAGTAACAACTACAGACAAAATGAGGAAACTGCTCCTGAAAAAGAAACAAAGTCAAACTCTACTAAGATCGCACCTATACTATATTTAAATGTCACTAGATTAATATCAACAAAACACCTCCGTTCAATAATACAATGCTTCATGAGATATTGGCAAGCAAATCAAGTAACTAACCAATCAGGTCAGTCTCAAAAAAAGGATTTACACGGGCATTCAATTGTAAAGGATTAATTATGGTCTTATGGCAATTTCAATAACAACATCTGGTAAACAGCAGTAAAAGCTCTGGTCATATTAATGTAATCCTTTTATAAGTTAATCAAAAAAGACAGGGCGTTCAAAGTTGAATCTGCAGAGGAGCGGACAGAAAGTTCAAAACAGTTTCTGAATTGACCAAAACGTTCACATTAAGAGGGGAAAACCGGAATCGTTACATCAGATTTTTAACTCAAAGGCAAACTTACCAGTTAGATCCTCCATATTTGCGGGCTTCACATCAACTATGTTGAAACTTTGATTACTTATTTCCAAGTTCCAGAGGTTTATTCGCAAGTCATCAGCTGATATAAACGTTTCACCATCACTGAAAAGAAAAGGAGAATGTCAGAGAATAAAATCGACGCAATCCCGTTCACGATGTTAATATTATGCATGAGGTAACAACTTAAGATAGTCATGACAAACAATTCAAGTAGCAACAAAGTTCAAGTCACTGAGATAATGACAATCTTAATCATTATATTAAAAGAATTATATTGAAAACACAAAGCAGTTTATCTAACTTGATACAACTGCCAAATTTTATTTTTCAAGATACATGACCACAGGCAAGACATGATTTCTGATGCATCTTGCAAACTTAATTATTACAATTGTTTCTCTGCAGAAACTTCAGCAAATATAACAATACTATATAATTCACTGCAGATAGGAATTTTAATAAATGGAAGAAAACCCCACACAGTGCACCACAGATCAGAAGCCCTTGCTTTTACATGTGCTTGCAGTAGGTTTCACAACTACACAACACAGTCGCAAGGAAAACGTTATCCATGATCTTTACCTGTTATTTGAAATTGAGTTAATGTGATAGTCATGAGCATGAGCATAGACCCTTCTACATCTTGCAACAAGGTTAGTCTCATTGCTGGTAACCTGAACAATAAAGCCAAAAATTTTGTTGAGTTCAACAATACAGGCTTTTCCAAATCCAAAACTCAAACAAATCTGCCGAACCACAACATTAAAAGTTCAGCTCGCATCATTGACTGAAAAGAGCTTTCTCAGTGGATTAATCAAGGTCTTTAGGGAAGTTAAGGAATTTGCTTCCTCATTTCAATTTTTGCAAGGTCGACTCAAGTCTAGAACACTAGGTTTTTAATGGTGTTTACAAATCCATTATACATCCAATAGGAATCTTGAACCATTAAGGTAACACAAATTAACGATCACCAGACAACAACTCATGAACGATATGCAATCAATTTTACAAACTCAAATAATGAAAGCTTTGAAGAAGTACAACTACCACAGGTAAGCGCAGTGATGAAATGCCCCCTGGGGGAAATGACACGTCACTGCTCAAGGAATTGTAAGACCTATCAGGGTTGCCGCCATTTGCAATATAGGGCTTAGGACTGGATGTAATGCTGGAGCTAGATGCACTGCCATTTCCAATACCCTTGGATGCGTCGATATTCATGTCAGCAATTTTCTTGACTTTCTTCTCTTGGACCTGTTTTGCGCAAAATTTGGCAGAGCATCAATAACCAGCCACCGTTTCAAGGTATTTTAATAAAAAGGATATCAATGAGGTTGGAATATGATTGACATATTAAGAGATAAAAACAAACACACTTCTCACGACAAATCAAGTACAAGACTCCAAAAAACCCCAGCCGTAAGATGTAGGTGTCAAGGGAACAAATGCCTTAAACCTCAAGTTGAGCGCGACGACATAAAAAGGAATTATATTGATAAACATCAACAAATGAATCAAAAGCAGTGACCTTGACAAGACTCATTTCAGATCTTTCAGGTAAAAGATTCTCCGTGGTTAAGATTAGTTTAAATGACAATTGCATAACACGCCAAAATAAAATCTCACAGAAATTGATGTACAGTGCAGGCCATAAGCATCAAGATGCTGGATGTTTCATCAAAACAAAAGAATGTTACCTTCCAAAACTTGATGGTTTTATCATTAGTGGACAGAAGGAAAAGGGCACCATTTGCTGTTTGGCACCACCTAATCTTGTTGATCTTTTCCTCAATTTCCAAACTCTTGAGGTAGTCAAACTGAATCAAAACAGATTAGAACAGGAAAAGCATAAGCAATTATAAAAATATAAGGTGCCTGAAACACAAATGAGGTACACAAAGGCAACATAGACGTCGATGATTGTAAAACTGGCATCTTAAGTTCAACCATATACTTGCATAATCACATAAGCTTACCGACTGACCCTCTCTTTTGCTTTTGAAAAACTAAAATGGTATTAACTTCCTTTAAATCATTTCAAAAAACAAAATTCAACTTCAAAGGCAAGAGACTACGTTTTGAGTCATCAAAAAGTAGCTGCTTTCCAAATATCTAGCAATTGATAGACCAACCATACCTCAGGTTCATGACTTTGGAATTCTGTCTTATAGCGGAATTCTGGATGCCGGGCCACTGGATAATCCATTCTCTCTAAATCTCTACGGCTTCCACCATGCTACAGAAAATATTTCCAGAAGAGGAACACAGTAAATAATGGCGAATTTAAACTTATCTTCATAAGGAGAAAATTATTTTCCCAGCTGGATAGCTAAAATCTTCCATATTCACCAACAACATGAATATCAATGATCAGCAAGTTAATATTCCTCATTAGCTTACCTCCTTAGTATCTGTCCTCTCGAATAAGACTACTCTGCCCCCACGGTCACCAGTAGCAAGATGATCACCAGATTTATCAAACTCGATTGCTGATATAATATCAACTGCAAAAGAAATGAGGAGAGGCAAACTAATAAGAGTCCTTCATCCAGTATTTGTTCGATACTATACATCACAAGATCAATATGATACACTGCATAAACATATGGTGCGTAGACAGCAGAAAAAGAAGTTGGGATTTGAACCTTGAGCTTTTCAAATGTAAACGACAGAACCAGATTTCAATACATTACAGCGAGCATAAAATAGTCTCTTGGCATGTATCAAATCATACGAGAAAGTGATCTTAACCAGCCGAAACATATTTCAGCCGGATAAACACAATACATTAGTCAAATCTAACCAACTATCATCTCTAGAAGAAGCAGCAAGCCCATAAATATTGCCACGTTGAGAAATAAGACAAGTATCCCATGTATAAAAAATAAGCACAGTTTCAGTTTACATAAGGAAGTGAGTTGCAGGCAACTCTATGAATACAAAAATGAAGATAAAATCATGCATGAGAAATCACAGACGTTTAGTCCAGACATCCTAACGGTATGTTAAAACCAATAAATTAAGTAATCATGACAGGTTTGCAAACATACTCAAAAAGATTTAGTCAGTTAGAAGCTCCACCCATCATTTTGGAACAACGAAATAGTTAACCAAAATGTTAACAAGGCATCGTTACACTTTAAATCTAGCAAATGAAGATACCTATACAGAAACACGTGTATTTAAGGTCACAAAAGCACACACGGCAAGCATGTGGTCATCACAGTATGGCAATTTACCCACCCGCCAATATCCATATGAAACGTGTAAGGCGCAGAAACTTCACATATGGTGGACCATGTTGGTTGACGACTAATCAACCTATTCAACTACCCGATAAAATTAACTGAAGCTCCTCTTGACCAGACTAGGTAAAACCATCAAACTTTCCTTTTTGTCTTTGTCGTTCATGCAATGTAAGCTTAAATATACCGCCTTACTGACCCTTGGCTGGCAAATTTAATTATGCCGAGTTCCAAACAGTAGGCTGGGAAACTAAGATATACCATGTTAAAAACAGTTGGCTCACTTCAAGGACTTTGCAGATTTGTTAGCCAAAAACCCCGTGACAACTTGCACCTTTTACGCTTCAGGTAACGAGAAAGCAACCTATACTCTGTTGGCATTGCACCAAATTTGGCCAATCCAAATGTTTTTCCTGCACGACTCTTGGAAGCGGCAACTCATCTTACACCATGTATCAAAAAGTTAACCATCTATTGACCCGAGATTCCTGTAATCCTTAAAAGAGAATGTTGGCTAACGACCATTAACCTCTAATTTAACTTTATGCCATAAAAGGCCAACCTGGCCACTACAACAGTAAAACTTATCCACCATCTATAAGATCACTGCATGCAGTCAACTAAAGTAATCATAACCCAGATGCAAGGAAGAAATGCCAGTAGACAACATGGGTGACCAAACTTGCATTGATGCTTGAAGGTAAGAGCAAAAACGAGGATTTTTTATGATGCTCCAACATAAGAACACGATAAGAACACGATTCAGGGTGAACATTGCACCATCAATAGACAAATGACATAGATTCAGACCATAGCAGAAACAGAAAGGAACATGCATTGCAAATCCAAACTTGCACTAGACTCACACAGAGTATTTACCCCTAATCTTTGGTTGAAGAAAGAAAACAAATTGGCATGCATAACACTTCAAACAATCCGCCACAGATATCCACCCCATATCTCATAAATCAACTAATTTTTTCCACAAGCAACGATCCCAAAAGACATAAAAAAGAAGGCACATCTCCAAACCCTAATGACTAAACACACAGTTAAAGACAGATGGATCCGAAGATAGAGTAAGTGAGAGAGTGAGATAAAGTCACAAAATTTGATATCCAATGCACAGTTATACCTTCCTGAACTTCCTCGCCGGCTGTGCGTTCACCAAAGACCTGAGAGAATTTCCACTCAAGCGGCGGTGGTGGCCCCGCCGGAGTAGCTGCCGTGACCTCTCCACCATCACCACCGTTCATCTCTTCCTCTATTGTTTTTCCTCTCTACCCCAAATCAACAGTGTCCTCAAACCAAAAAAAACAGAACACCACAACACTAAAAACTACAGCGCCACCGCCAACGCAAACGCCAAATCAAATCGCAAGAATCGAGAATCGCGCAGGAATAACCGAACAAAAGGAAAAATAAGAACGGAAAAAAAAAAACACAAAAACAAAACAATCTCACTTCATCCGGGAAAAGACAAAACGGATAAATGAAGAAGATGATCGCTTCTAGGTTTTGGAGGATCGGAGCTTCATGTAAAATGCTGTACGGATTCAGATTCAATTCAATACCCTAAACTCCCAAACATCCACAATAATACTACGAACAGATTTAATTCTATAAAATATTAAGTAATTAAGAAAAAAAAAAGGAAAATTTCTTCCCCTTTCCTTCTTCTCTCTACACTTTCTCTCTCTCTCTCTCCGGGGGAGAAAAATGGGAATTGGAAAAAAAAGAACGGAGTTTTTTTTATCGAACCGTTCTTTTTTATTTTTATTAGTATTTGCCTTAGGCGGAGAAGAACACTGTTGAGCTCTCCAAATCAATAATACACACATTTCTCTCTCTTTACTCCATTTTTATATTTTTCTCAAGTCACGCTACCGTCACGTGCGGGGAACTTAATGGACTCATCTGGACCGTTGAACGGCGTGACTAGTAACGGGATGGACGTGAGGGATTGCGTGAGTGGAAATGGAAAATGTGACAGCAGGTTATTTTAGAGATATACGATTTGGAAATATGTTATTGAACTTCTGTGGATTACCGGGACACTGTTGAAGAGGACACGAAGGGTGGGTTAAGTGAAATGACGTCTCTGTCCTCGTACAAATTTTCTTTTTTTCTTTTTTTTTTTTTTTTGGGTCAGTACAGAAGATAGAGGGATAGACTTTCAGTTCATTTGTGTAAAAAAATAATAATTATTATTAATTCGTGAGAGTAAAAGACAATATGGGAGGTTGAAAAAAGTGGGGGTTTTTTTGAGATTAGACGAGGAGGTAATGGTAATGGTATTATGGCCTTTCTCATCTCAATGGGCGTTTTCGAAACCGAAGTAAATAAAAAGTTGTCTCCTCTTCCGGCAAAAACCACGAGGACTATCACGTTGGAACGCAAGTTTTGGCATAAAAAATTTTGACAAATGCACAACATTACAAGAAAGTCTAACGGAATTACGATTGACAAATGGACATTTCAAAGACATTTGTTAATACGGTTAAAAATGCATGTTTTTGGACACTAAAAATTACTTTGCAGCTTACATGAACGAGGTAAACTATTATTTGATCATGTATGTACTAATAGTTATCTTTCAATTTTGTTGGAGAAGAAAAAAAATGAGTTGAGGATTCTGTAAAGAGGGATTGATCTCATCACGATCAATTGGAATGTTATAAAAAATAGTTTGAATTTAGTGTAAATAAATTTATAATATATTTTCGGTTCAATTTGAATAATTTATCAAATTAAAATAATATCATTCGGTGCTCCACTAAAAAGTAAGATTTCATTTTTATGGCTTTCAAACCCTTATAGGTGGGTGTTTGGTTATAAAATGTGAACCCACAAACATGGGGAGAATGGACCTTTTCATCCCAAGATTTGAGCCACACCATCTAAAACATCTCAAAGTTTGAAAACATGTCATTTTCATCCCAAACTTTTCAAAAATATGTAATATTAGAACATTTGTTAATTTTTTCAAGTTATTAACAACGATATTTCATTCAGTTTCTTTTCTCCCATTTTTTTTAGTTAAAAAAAGTTCCATGCTTGCGTTTGGTAAATTTGGTCCATGCCAAGCAAAAAAGTTACATGTCCCTGCATCAATTACAACACCAATTTTTATAATGATGCTACATATTTAAAAAAATAAATAAAATAGAGTTTACTTTCTAATTAGGACACACACAAAACCTCTCATGATTGTTATCAATCTAGAAGGTGAATCTTTGAATTTTTTTTTCTTTTGCTAAGCAAGGGAAGAATGGATGATGTGAAAACCAAATTAGGTTTAGCTATTTTCTTATAAGGTGGGAGTTAGTGGAACGTGTTAAATGATTAAAAGAATTGGGGGAGGAGAAACAGAATAAAGAACCATCACTAATTAATTAACTGGAGTTAAAAATTTAACGAATATTCTAATGTAACATGTTTTTAAAAAGTTTGGTATGTAAATGGCATGTTCTTAAATTTTGAGATATTTTGGATGGTGTGGCCCAAACTTTGGGATGAAAATACCCATTTTCCCCACAAAGATGTAATGAATTCATAAAATTATCTCTATTTTTTCATATCCAACAACTTGGAGGGTATGGATATATTTATCTTGGAAATGAATTTCTTTCTTCGAACCCATACCAATGGTTGAACAAAAAATATGAGATGATAGGAGTATCATAGTTCTTGCATCAAAAGGAAACACAGGTGAAAGCGAGTTAAGGCTTGTTTGATAACACTACTTCATACTTAAAATTATTTGATTAAACTTTATTTTTTAGTTCAATATATTTATAACAAAAAATGAACTTCTTAATGAATTAAGTGGTGCTAAAACTACAGTACAAAATACAAGTAATGCAAGTTAGTTTGTTTCTTATTACGTAACTACTTAATGAATTCAGTATTAAACATTTACAATTAGCGCTAATTTTTTTCAAATAGTCCCCAAGAAAAAAAGAAAAACAACTTGATCTTTGAATTTCATGTGTAGCTTGAGGACAAAAAAAGAAAGGTAAAATTGGATTGAATTAGGGGTAATGTCTTACAGCACTGGGATGGGCTGGAATAGGTTATATACGTCTTGGTTAGGACCAAGTATTTTAAGTGACAAATCTCTCGCAACATTTGGGCCTCTGCTTTTTGTTTGACAGGAAATGATTATAATGATTGGACAAACCATAGTGGTGTACGTGAGCTATAATAACTGTCATGTGCCAGTTCAGCCCAGTTTGGTTGACACGAAAAGAACTTAACAGGCTAGTTTCTGACCTCTAGTCCTCTACTGTCTCTACAAACGTAGTCATGTAGCTACAAGCTTTATCGCTCAAATGAAAATGTTATCTTGCTTGGCTCAATATGTAAAATACTTATATAGGGTAAAAACATATTAATATTAAAATTTTTTATAAATGTAAAATATATATTGGGATAAAAATATATTAATATTAAATTATAAAAGACCTTACTAAAGAAAACCAAACAACCATACTAACAGTGTTAATTTTATTTATTTTTTTTTAATTTTATTAAAAACGATTTTTACACAATCGAAAGATTTAGAAATTTATACTCGGGCGTTTAATTTACTGTTAATATGTGATTGATTTTCAGAAGATGGAAATATATGAGTTAGGCGTCATCTTATAACACATGCATAACATATAGCGATTATTCATTATTTACTTTGTAGGTATTTTGGTACGAATCAGATCAAGTGCATAAACTTTTTTACATATCATTCCATATGATTGAATTATTTAAGTGATTATTTGCTTGTAAATAGACGTGTTGAATTATGGTAAAAAGAAAAAGGTTATCTAAAACAACGTTACGTATATGACATAGGTGTGGCCTTTTTAATTAACCTTAGATTATTATCTGCCGCAGAATTGTTCGTATTTAGTTACGTGACAAATCAATGACTCACATTCATTAACGTACGCATAGTGCTTGGCAGCTTTGCATTATCTTTCGCCAAAAAAAAAAACAATGAGTAGAAAGCTTGTCGAATTAATGGTTGATCATTTGGCACGAAACATATGATAATTCGAAAGCTAAGAGCAAAGCAGTCACCATTTCGCTGTAAAGTTTCATATGCCTCCAAAAAAATTTTATTAAAAGGGAGATTTTAGTACTATTGTTAGCTTGACAAACATGCATGATCCATATACGTACTCCTATACATATTATGGTTGATTTGTGATTTGTTGTCATTATGCGCTTATTTTATTTTTTGAGAGGAAGAGTTCTAATTAGATTGATCATCGCCTAATAAGGTTGAATAGTCACAAACCCTTGTCTTAATTAAGTATAGTGAGCAACTAACTAAAGGTTCGATGACGCTAATCCTCATCAAGTTGTAGAAGTAGTGTCTTATTTTTAATTCAGCCGCAGAACAAATTTTCCTTTCATTTTGTTTGGATTTATAAGAGGTATTAAAGATAAAATTATGTAGACGTACAGAGACACAACATAATCATTTCTAAATGAATTTTTTCATGGCTGAAGAACATCACGTCAATCTAATAACAGAACGGCTTTCAGTGTTTAATGGCTTGTGTTCTTGTCGTGTCATGACTGATGAACTTATATTCCAACTATGAAGAAGAAATTAATTAGTACTTACGATTTAAAACTGATTTTTTTTTTTTTTTTCTGGAAACGGAGGAAGTACAATGTTGTCCTAATTGGTTGTACCACATTAACCTATCTCATGTGGAAAACAGACAAAACACCTAGCATAGTACTACACCAATTACTTGTTGCCAAGTAATGAGTCTCAACATCATCCGACATATATGTGTATTCCACTTATCCTGATTTATTCTCTCTGGTTTCATTTTGATTCTTTCTCCTTAGTTTAATTACCACAAACTTTGAATATCCGTCAAGGAAATTAGAACCCGATCCTTGTGAATATTCTTCTTTGGTTGGCATACAACACGGATTAGGTACACATAGAATTTTGTTGCGAGGGGTTATTGTTCACGAACAGAAAGATCATGAGATGCCATCGATTCATCGTAAGTTTAATGTTAGGTGCATGGTTTCGAAATGATCCAAGTTGTTAGAGCTTGATTAATTAAACAAAGTGAGAACGTGCTTATTGATTTTGTTTGATTGGGCAAGTTAGCTAGGGAGACAAAATTTCGGACGTCTAAATTAAGTTTCATTCAAAAGTTGACATCCACTAGTGTAGGTTGTTTATCATAATTATTATTAGGAGCTGTTCTGTTCTCTGCTCCATTTCATAGGTTCAATATGTAACACAAGTATGACTATGCTAGTTCGACCCGGTTTGTAATTGCTAGAAAACCAAAGGTCTAATGTGAACAGCTTAAAATGGCTCTCTCTTTTTTCTTTTTCTTTTTTTTTAATAAAAGGGATCAATAGTGGTTCCTCACTTACCTCCGGCGGGACTCGAACTCGTGACTTATTGGTTAACAGATGATGTGTCTTACCACAACGACACAAAAATTTGAGTTTTACTTATAAAATTTGAGACTGGATAGTACAGATACTACCTGAATTTCGTAAGACTAATTTTACGGTAGAGTATATGGCTTCCTTGACGTCTTCATGTCATGGTGGCTTGCAGCAGACGAATCCCGTCGGGACTGAAATCTTGATTAGAACACGATGTGATTGGTATTTATTATTCACGAAATATTTTAATTTCATGATTTAAGTTTTGACCTCCTTTCTTGTATAAAGAAAACAATAAGACACGGCGAAATACATTATCGATGGAACAAAATTGGTACTAAAACTCTAAGTCCCAATAGTTTTATCCGGATATTCTCAATAGTTGATGAACGATTTCTCATACGGTTTGCTAATGAAACTTTTTCTTTAAAAAAAAGAAAGGGAAAAAAAAAAAAAAAGAAAGAAGAAGACTACTAGTATTTCACTTGTTCGAGGAGGCTTCTTGTGTGTTTGGTTTTTGAGAAGTTGCGGGGAATTGTGAGGGACACATCAGAATTCAGAACAACAAAACTTAAAGCCGCCGCCGTGAAATGAACTTGACAATTTGTTTGTATTCTGTCTGCTACGTTAACCAGTTGGAAGCACATCCCACAGTATATTCCATTTCCTCAGAGTTTTGGTAACAATAATAATTTGTGCATTTCAGTTTCACAATCCCTTATTGGATTTCAATCCCCTGGAATATTCCCGGCACTCTTTCCCTTATCACCCCCCTCCTAAAGCACTAGATCTTCCACGTGCTTGAAATCCAACGGCCAAGAACGCCCCGGATAGGGAAAAATAAAAATTGGGGGATACAAATTAAAGAGACATTTCTAGATTTTGCTTTCTCTAATAAAAGAGTTTTTCCACCCACCACCACAAGAAGTAATATTCCATTATGCAATTTGGCATCTTATTCTTTAATTCGCATAACCCTGATTCTTCTCCATCACACAATATATTAAATTAAACCCCTTTCCACACCCCCCCATATATAAATACCTCCTCTGTCCCAGGTTTGTTTCGTAACACCAAAGATTCAGTAGTCTACAAACATTTGTATTTAAAAAAAATTCTCTCTTGAGACGAAAACAAAAAATGGCCGGAATTGTGGTGGTTTTCGACTTCGACAAGACGATTATTGAGTTGGATAGTGATAATTGGGTGGTTGATGAACTGGGTTTCACTGAATTGTTCAATCAACTTCTTCCCTCCATGCCTTGGAACTCCCTCATGGTACGTTGTCACATTATTAATTAACTAGTTACCAGTATGTTATTATGTTTCACCTCTATCTTGTTACGTGCAATATTTTTTTTTACCTCAAAGTACCAACTTTGTATAATTATTAGTATATTACTCTCTTACAACATTATGTTATTTATTATATCAACTTCTGAACTAGTGGTTTTAATTTTGATTGTTCAGGACAAGATGATGGGAGAGATTCATGCTCATGGAAAGACCATTGAAGACATTGAAGAGGTTCTGAAAAGGGCTCCCATTCACCCCAGAATTGTACCTGCGATTAAATCAGCTCATGCTTTAGGGTAATTCTAAACTCATCCTTCAAAAAAAGAAACCTTCATTCATTCATTTTACTCTGTTTTTTTTTTTTTCCATCCCACTAATCAGATTGAGTGATTGATTATTGGGTTCTCTTTTTGGAATCTGGGCAGGTGTGATTTGAGGATTGTTAGTGATGCAAATGTGTTCTTCATCGAGACGATTTTGAACCATCTGGGAATCAGGGAATGCTTCTCGGAAATCAACACGAACCCAGGCTACGTTGATGATAATGGGAGGCTGAGAATACTTCCGTACCATGATTTCCACACCTCATCTCATGGCTGCCATCGTTGTCCTCCTAACATGTGCAAGGTTACCCCTTTTTTCTTTTTATTTTCTTTTCTTTTTCCCCCTCCACCTAAAATACATGTGCAAAAAATCCCATGATTTTCGTGGAATTTTGAATTGAATAAGATTTATAATAATCAATCACTTTTTTTGTGATAATAATAACTGTGTTATATTCAAGCCTCTTATTTTTGAATTGATTTCCTCAAACTTTGTTTGACTTAAAAAAAAAAACTATTTTAGAAATGTTATGTACATGGTGGTCTTTAGTGTTTATTGTGTATGTCAGTATTCAAATTATTGATAACGAGATGAATATAACACAGTTATTATTATTATAAATCTTATTTTTCGTGTGTCACAAGTGATAACTATATATATATATATATATATATATATATATATATATATCTAACATTCAACTTGTGCTGTGAATTACAGGGCTTGATCATTGAAAGGATTCAAGCCTCACTAGCCAAAGAAGGAAAGAAAAAGATAATCTATTTAGGAGATGGAGTTGGTGATTTTTGTCCTAGTTTGAAACTCAAAGAGGAAGATCACATGATGCCAAGGAAAAATTTCCCAGTTTGGGATTTGATCTGTGAGAACAGAGTGCTACTGAAAGCAGAGATTCACGAATGGATTGATGGGGAAGATCTTGAACTTATTCTTCTCCAATTGATCAACTCCATTATCATTGCAGAGGAAAAAATCTTCAACCCAACTGCTCAATTGTTGGCATCAGATTGCAAGTTCCAGACAATTCCCATATCAGTTCATGAATCCTTGCACCCATTGCCAGTTCCTCATTAGTGGGATGTAACATTTTTTCCTGATGGTTTTGAGAGTCTTAATTGGAGGAAGTTTAAGTTTGAGTTTTTCTTTGTAATGTAGATTTGGTGTTGTAATGTACACATTTGAATTGGCCTAATCACTGAAGGCTCTGATTCAAACTGTTATAACTTGATATGTTTACAACTTACAAGCTGCTTTGTGCCAATCATGTGCCCTGCCTTTGTTAAATTGAAAGTACCATAAAGGATAACTGAACATCTCTAAAGAATCATATGGCTAATTTTGATGAGAAATCACTCTGCAACTGGACCAAATATTCAGCTACAGCTTTGAGGGCTCATCATACTCCACAAGCTTTACCTAAACAAATCACATTGACTCCAAATATGTTAGTATAACATAGTTCATTTACTTGCAATCTTATAATTAATGTTCAGACTCCACTTCTCACCTTCATCATTTACTGTGCAAACAAAAAAGAAGATATGAACAGGTAAATTATCTTGTGCCATTGCGCTGAGTATCGAAACAATAAACAATAAAAATACTAATGCAATGACTTCAAATTCCATACCAGAAGAATCTAACAAGTTTGCAAGTCTGCTGACTTGTGTCCATCAGTTGGCATTTCTCCAAAGCCTAGATATGAACTTATGAAGGTGTATGATATTTGAATTTAATCCGACATTTCATTTTCTTCCTCCAAGATGTTGTCTTTGGTCCACCAATATTGGATAGAGGATCTCAAATGACTAAAAAAGCATTTGAGATTTGTACGCGACCCTAATCCACACAAGCTGATGTATGCATGAAATCATCAGATCAAAAGCAATTTTGGAGATAATGAAATACTAGTAGATCGTTTTCCGTCCATAAATCAAGCATCTAGTAGACTAGTAGACCAGTAGTTTCTCTGGTAGACCAGTAGGTTTCTAAATTCTAATCAATTACGGGTTTGCATAACATTCTTTTAATTTATCATGTGACATTTTTTGGGAAAAGAAGAACGTGTTAGATTTTTACTGACTTCAAAGCCCATGAATCAGTTTCGTAAGGGGCTACTGAATGCATTGTAGAAAGGACTTATGAATGGTTGAAGGCTTGAAGCATTGTCTACGACAAGACACAAGAGACCAGTAGGGGCCGCCGACTCCCTCTCAAGGGCTTAAATTTGACCTGTAGTTTGAAATTTCCAAAAAATAAAATAAAAAATAATAATAAAATAAAATAATAATAATAAATTTCACCCATACTAAAATGAAAAATGTATTTACTAGATTGCTAGGTACTTGTTTGGACGTCAACTTACATTTTATTTTGCCACTTAAAAGTGGAAAGTGTTTCAAATTGAAAACTAAATGAGAAATAAAAATGTTGTTTGGATGTTAGTTTTGAAAAAATGTATTTTGAACTATATTTTGAAATATCAAATACAAGTTATCACTAAACAATTAAATACTGTCAATTATAGTCACTGCAAAAAAGAACTTTTCCAAAAACAATCACTCAATAACGGAATCCTGCCAAATTTGTCACTGAACTATTTGTAGTTCTAAAATGGTCATTACACTAACAAAAAGTGTTTCAAGTTGGAATTTAAAATGTAAATCAGAAAATTGTTTGAATGATGTTTTCTTTTCCATTAGGTTTTGTGTTTAAGAGATAAAATGAGTGAAAATGTAAAATGAGTTGATGTCTAAACAAGGCATCGATCTTTCGCAATAACAATATAGAAAAACACTATACACTATGAAGACAGATTAAAACCAAATGATGAGATACAGAGAATTTATGTTCATTTTGCGGCTAAAATTCTATAATCTCTCATCTCAACTATAATACTACTACTATAGATACACACAGCCATTGTAAACCTACTTCTCTGGATATAGATCAGCATAATCCAGTACTAGAGCTTAATTTTAACAATTAATCATCCATCACGCCTTGGATATAATGGCGGCCTCCACCACCAATTTGGTTGTACTTGTACTTCCTCATTCTTATTCTTCAAAAACCAGTACTACTCCTTTTTCAACCACATTAATTCGTAACAAACGCACTCCCTTCAACTACGCCGCCTATGCAAGAGCATTAACGATATCGGCCACCGCGGCGGATGAGAAGGTTGTCATCACTAGACGGTCGGGCAACTACGGAACTCCGCGTTGGAGTTTTGATTTCATTCAGTCACTTGATACTGGATATTCGGTACATTTATAATACAGTTACTACTACAATAATTATGATTAATTACAACTAAATAGCTAGCATATATATATATATATATATATATTCATATTATTATTAATGACAGGCGGAGAAGTTCAGGAAAAGGGGTGATGAGTTGAAGGAGAAAGTGAATGCAATATTGGTGGAGGAATTATTATTAGATGATGAGGAAACCAATATGAAGCTAGGGGTGGTGGACTGCTTGGAGCTTGTTGATAATCTGGAAAGATTAGGAGTGGGTTATCACTTTGAACCTCAAATTCACAGATTATTGAACAACATATTCAATCGGAGAAAACATGGTGATGATGATGAAGTCAAAGATTTGTATGCTGCTGCTCTTGAATTTCGAGTTTTGAGACAAAATGGCTTTCATGTTCCTCAAGGTACGTCCGTATTTATTAATGTTTAATTTGCTCCTTGTTTTTTTTTTTCTTTTCTTTTATCGTGTTTCTAATTAATTTGTACGCAATACTATTATATATATATACATAATTTTATAACAAAGAAAATTTAAAATTGACAATACAGTTAATTGAGTTGGCAAATTAGTCACACGTTAAATACTGTTTGGGATAATAGGAGTATAATGTATATATGTACGTATCCGTCTACTACTATACTATGTACTGACTTCCGATACACTACCGTCTATGAAACAAATATTTTTTACACGTTTAATTATTCTTTCCATCCCATTTAATATATAGTTCATTTGTTGCGGTGGATTATTAGATGACTAACTTTTTTTTTTTTTTTTTGGGGGTGGTATTTTCCAGATATATTCGACCCTTTCATGAATGAAGAGGGTGAGTTTGATGAGAGGCTAAGCAAAGATACAAAGGGATTGCTGAGTTTATACGAAGCTTGTTTCCTGTCACTAGAAGCTGAAACAAAACTTGATACGGCAAGAGAATTCTCCACTCAAAACCTTATCAAGAATCAAACAAAAATTGATCTGCAGCCGAATCAATGGTTAAGTTCCTTAGTGCAACATGCACTGGAGATTCCCCTAAGATGGAGGGTACCCAGAATAGAGGCAAGGTGGTACATAGAGTCATATGAAACCTGCCCCAAAATGAACCCTATTCTGCTTGAATTTGCCAAATTGGATTTCAATATCGTTCAAGCTGTTCATCAACAAGACCTCAAAGCTGTAGCCAGGTTGATGACAAATTTCTTTTTTATTTTTTTCTTTTTTTTTTGTTTGGTTGAAACCAAATACTCTATATTAATTATATTTTGAGACGATTAATTAATAGAACATAACATTGAAAATATTATATATGTAATTAATGTTTTGGCTAAATTATAAGGTGGTGGAAGGACATAAAAATTGAGCCCAGGTTGCCATTTGTGAGGGATAGAATTGTGGAGAATTTCTTTTGGACAATTGGGGTGGCTCCCGAGCCTCAACATGGACTTTGTAGAAGAATTCTAGCCAAGTGCTTCGTCTTGATCTGCATGATAGATGACCTCTATGATGTTTACGGAAGCATAAATGAATTGGAACTCTTCACTGATGCTGTTGACAGGTATGTGATCAAACTAGCTATTAGTACCTCCCATCTTCTCAAAGTTAACATCTCATAAGAAGTTGTCTTTTATTAAACGATTATAAACTTGGGTCGCACCATTTTATGTACTCCCTCTGTCTCTTAAAAAAAAAAAAAATCGACCATGTTAAAATTTTAAAATTTGTACTAAAAGTAAGGCAGATATCAAAACTCAATATGCTACACGAGACTTGAAAAAGGGAATGCTTATATGATACCCCTAAAAAACAGTATTAACACACACATATAAATCATATATGTAGATACAGTTTACATGCATGATTCATGACCTCCATTATTCAGGTGGGATGTGAAAGCCATTGATCAGCTTCCAAACTACATGAGAGTTGCCTATCTCGGTTTTTTCAACTCCATCAACGAGATGGCCTATGAAGCCATGAACCAACAAGACGTCCATGTGATTAAACATTTTCAGCGAGTGGTACGTTTGATTAGATCATTGCCTGATTTGCTTTGAAACAATTTCTCGTAAATTTGATAGTACCAATTAGTATTTCTGAAATTGACCGGTATTGATTAATTTATATGTGTATAGTGGGCCAATCTATGCAAAGGATACATGAAAGAGGCAAGGTGGTACTACGGTGGATACACACCGGGGGTGGAAGAATATCTTGAAAATGCATGGGTTACCATCTCTAATCCAGTCATGTTGATGCATGTTTATGCCGCTATTACCGACTCCATTAATACAGAAGCCATGGATTGCCTTGATACCCATGACATTGTTCGTTGGTCCGGAATGTTAGTCCGATTGGTCAACGATTTGGGTACTGGACCGGTAAGTAACGCTTACCGTTCTGACCTTCCCATAATAATTATTTTGTTTTTTCTCACCCTTGTTTTATTTTACCTTTTATATATCTCTCTTTTTTTTTTTAAGTTAATGTTTAATTAATCGTTTGAACATATACTATGTACATACACAGGAGGAGATGAAAAGGGGAGATGTGGATAAATTAGTGCAATGTTACGTGAAGGAAACAGGATGTACAGAAGAAGAAGCCAGGGAAAATGTGTGGGGTTTGTACAGACAGACATGGAAGAAGATGAACAAGGAGTGTATGGTAAAAGAATCACCATTATTCTCAAACTCATTTGTTAGAGCTTCAAAGAACTATGGAGGAATGACTCTTGTCCTTTACAAATATGGAGATGGCCATGGTGTTCATTCAAATCCCCACACCACTGATCGCATCCTCTCTTCCATTTTCAACCCAATTCCCCTTTCCTACTAAATTTGTCCTCTGTGCCTCTGTCCTCTGGACCAATATTCAGCTACAAGTTTTGAGAAAAATGAGTTGGCTTGCATCAGCTTTGAGGGTTCATCATACTCCACAAGCTTCCCTACAAAAGTACATAATAATATATGTGATGGATCCAGATTTATTAGCTGAAAAGTCATTTACTTCCAATCCTAGATTAAACGTTAACATACAGAAACAAGAAAAGCTTATAGCAGCCTTTGTTCCAGAAATTGAATCGGTTATATGGATCATGTTTCACAAGTGCGGTCTGGCAAATTAATCGCCTCTCCTTATTGAACTTTCTAACTAGTATTTATGTAATTTCTTGTATGATTCCTTTTCATACAAATTACATGTTTAGAAGCTCATTGCCAGCGGTGTCTAATTGTAACATGAAGCAGGAAGAAAGACGAAGAACTTACCTAAGGAAAGAACCATGACCATATCGCTATCGATTACTGTTGGAACTCTGTGTGCCACCGTAATCACAGTGCTTTTTGAGAATTCTTCTCTGATCACTTTCTGCAGGATTGCATCAGTTGCGGAATCAATGGAAGCAGTTGCTTCATCCAGCACTAAGATTCTGTTCCTTTTCAGCAGTACTCTTCCAAGGCAGAAAAGCTGTCTCTGCCCCATACTCCAATTCTCACCTTCATCACTTACTTTGCAAACAAAAAATCACATATGAACACCAATCATCAGCAAATCATCTTATCCTATAATTTTCAAGATTGTTAGGACAAAATACAATATACACTAATGCAGTGTCTGCAATTTTTATACCCGAAGAATCTAACAAGTTTGGGAGACTGCTGACTGTGTCCTTCAGTTGGCATTTCTCCAGAGCCTAGATATAAACAATTAGTTATTCAGTTTGACGAATTAATGCTGTTTTGCAGGATTAAAAAAAAATGGGACTTGTCTTTCACTAAGAAATTTGCGTGAAGTATGCAAAAGTGTCACTTTTACCTGCCATATTTCCTCATCAGTGTAAAGGCCGAAAGGATCCAAATTTGTCCTTATACTGCCCCTAAAAAGTGTTGGTTCTTGAGGGATAATGCTGAGCTTCGAACGTAAATCCTTAAGGCCAACTGAGCAAATGTTGATGCCATCTACGATTATTTGACCACTGTAAGGCTCAACAAGGCGAAACAAAGCGCTAACCAATGTTGTTTTGCCACTTCCTGTCCTTCCAACAACTCCTGTTCTGGTTCCTTCTCTGAAAGTACATGTAATCCCTTTAAGAACTAATGGAGTATTAGGCCGGTATCTTATCTGCAGAAGAAGAACCACATATAAGGTTCGTTTTTATCATGATTGTTTCCCATAAACACAATTTAGGTAACATTCTCACATTCAGTTCCAGCAACTCAATTCTTCCATGGGAAGGCCAAGATGGCGGTGGTCTACTGTCTTCCACAATTGCTGGAGGTTCAGGTGGTATGTGCATGAACTGTTTGATCCTCTCCACTGAAATGTAGTAATTAACTAAGTTGCTGTACCAACGCGAGAAGAATATTTGAACCGCAGGAAGTGTGAAAGCATAAGAAAGAGACAGTCCCACAAGCCCTGAAAATGTAGAAACAAAATGGTCCGCTTCAACAGCCTGATAACTACTACAGTTCTTATCATGCATTTAGATACAAATATGTACCTGGAGCAACGAATTGCTTAGGATTTGATATTAAGAGAAAAGCAGCAGTGAATAGAGTGAGATTCTGAAGTGTTTCTACACGTAAAATGAACCACTCCATCGCGGCATTAGAGAAAAGGAACGCTTTTGCATCAGTGTCCACAAGCTTGAGGTAGTTCTGAAAGAACCTGTTTGACATTCTAAATGCTCTTATTGTGGCAACTCCAAGTGCTGTCTCAGAAGCGTAATTCGTTATGGGAGCTTTCGTGGTTCCATTTATCCGCATCAGTTCTTGCGCAGTGGATTGGTAGTATCCCTTATCATGTAAATGGTGACATTATGTATCTGAATTTTGAAATTCCACCAGATAAAATATAAGTATAAAACGTGACAAAAGATGCGTACTAAGCCTTACCTGAACATATTTGGATGCGATAGTAGCTATGGCTCCCACAACAAAGACCTGCCACGTTATCGAAGCCATGATGCAAATTGTTGCAATGATTTCAATCCCAGCAACCAACACCGAAGCAAAGGGAAAAGGGATGTCAAAATCCAGCACACTGAAATCTGAAGAAGCCTGACGACAATATGGAAAGGACAGTAAAACAAATTTTAGTCGGAGTCTCAGAGAGATGACTCAGTAGCTAATGTTACACAATGTAAAAGTAAAGACTAAAGACGACCAATTATATTCATTTTAGTGAAATATGATAAAAAGCACTAGGATCTTTTCTCTTTTCTGATGTAACATCAATCACAAGCGATTTCATTTAATCAATTAAAGAGCACTAACTCGTGTCAAGATCCTCCCAACTGGAGTTGAATCAAAAAAAAGCATTGGAGCATTGAAAATGGAACTGGTGAAACCCGAGAAAAATGCTTTCGAAGCTCTCAATCCGAAGATGGCTGCAAATAAGGATCTCAGGTAGATGAACAAGGCACTCAGAGTTGCAATGAGAGCATACACAGAAACAATAGTGAAATTGCTATAGCTCGGAGATTGGATAGAAAATGCTAGCCAATAACTAGCCACGGCTTGGAGACCAAAAAATCCAACTGCAGAGATCACGATGAACAGTACCAGAAATTGTGCATTTGAAACCCGAACATAATCCAGGAAAGTTTTAAACCCGACATCCTCAATTTCCTTCTCTTCTTCTTTTGTCAACTGTTCTACTGCTGGTATCATGGATATCTCTTCACCATTCTTTTCTTCGCTTAAATAAGACCGATTTGTATCTTCCAATTTATTTATGATATCTTGTTGAGTTTCATCTTCATTTCTGGTCAGAGGAGTTGAGAATGTTATTGCATTTTGATGAGCGACCACAAGTTCTTCAAATACTGTCCCTGCTGTGAGTAATTCTTTATAGCTTCCAGATTGAGTAACATGCCCACCTTCCATTACCTCCAGCAGGTCAGAAGTTGAACAATTAGAAACAACAAAATTTTTACAAGAAAATCAATTGAGGAACAATCAATATAAAGATTACCAGAATATGATCAACAGCTGACAGGAACTCTATTTGGTGAGTCGCGAGAATGACAGTCTTATTTGCCAAAGCAGACATAACACAATCCTGAAAATACAAGACCAAAATGCTCATCAGATTATCAGATTTTGTTGATTATCATAAGAATACAGGTCAGAGAAGCGAGCCTTGCGTTAAAAAGAGTTGCTCCGGTGTGTGCATCCACAGCACTAAAAGGGTCGTCGAGAAGATATATATCAGCGTCACGATAGACAGCCCGAGCAAGTTGAATTCTCTGCTTCTGTCCACCACTCATGTTTATACCTCTCTGCCCAATCTCTGTAAGATCACCGTACTCAAAACTATCAATGTCTTTTTCCAAAGCAGAAACTCTTAAAGCCTCTTCGTATTTGGAATTATTCATAGGCTCTCCAAAGAGAATATTTTCTCGGATTGTCCCACTCTGAATCCAAGAAGCTTGGGAAACATAAGCAATATCTCCATGAACACTCAGCTGAAGTTAAACAAAATATGATGAAATCAACGAAAAACTTAACTTCTTGACTTCAAGCAGGGAAATGGAATGAATATTATGACTTACATTTCCAGATGTCTTGTGTATTTCTCCAAGTATAGCATTTAGAAGTGACGATTTTCCGGCCCCAACTGGTCCACAAACTGCAACTTTCTGCCCCCTTTGAACATGCAGGTTTACATTATGTATTGTCAAAGTGGCTGAATCTGGATGCCAACTGAAGCAACCATCTTCAATTTGTATAGTAAGATTTAAGTCATTTGAATGAGATCTCGATTCATCCTCATGATCTTTTATTTCATCCTCTTGGAGGAAAGAATTTATTCTATCAAATGAAATGTTAACTTGCATCAAAGCAGAAAGAGCTTCCGGAATGAGACGCACAGGTTCTGACAAGCTCCTTAGGGAAGCCAAGACAGTGAAAACTGTACTTGCATTCAATTGAGCACTTCTAAACACGATGCAACCAAAGAAAATAACGGAAGATACAATTGTTGGAGACATCCAAAACAAGAGAGTAATATAAACTTTCTTGTACTGAGACTCTGCTAACCATTTGAATTCATTCTCTCTATATGATTCTATCAAGTTCTTGAATTTATCTTCCCATGATTGTAGCTTTATGATTTTCATATTATTCAGAATCTCTGACATTATCCTCAGTCGTTTGTCTTGAGCAATCATGAACTCACGTTGACACTTCTGGATTAATTTTGCAAAGGGTACATTTAGAAAGCCACACATGATAAGAGGTAATAAACCAGGAAGAGCACCAAGACCAACAACTGCAAAAAGGACAGCAATGGCAAGTAGAAGTTGAAGCACAGAACTCCAACCTATATGAGTCCACATGGGAAATTCACCCATTCGATAAGCATCAACTGCAATGTAATTTACAACCTCACCTGCTGAGTGCACTCGCCTACCCTTACTAGAAAGCTTAAGCTGCTTCTGGTAAACTGCCACAATAAGAGCAGATCTCATCCTCATGCCTAATCTCCTGGCGTAAAAATAGAAATGACGAGAAGATAAAGACTCGACAACCTTCAAAAGAACCAAGCTCACGAGTAAAACTGCTCCGTCTCTGATACTTCTTGTTTCACTATTGTAATACCTGACCAAACCAAAGAGAAATAATGGAGCAATTGCTACAGCTACTGCCCTTAAAAATGCACAAGTTCCAGCTAGCACCATTTCTTTCCAGTAAACTCTTGTAATAGCACAGAGAACCAAGTTATGTGCAGTCCTGAAATCCGTTTTTCCTTGAAGGGATTTCCAAGCTTGATCAAATTTTTTATAGGCCAAACCTGCTTCATCTTCTGATCCTAGACAAGGAATGTCTTCAATAGCTAAAGTTTTCGAGTTACCTAAATGCAGTAATGGCTTGACCCAAGACAAAGTCAATTTGCTAAAGAAGCTAACTTGGCCTAGATTGATTGAGGTGTGGCCCTTATGAGGATCTTCGGTTAAAAGGGGTTCTAAAAGGGCAGCATTTTCTGTGGTGGGGCGATAGATTGTGATTTGGAGAGTGCTCATAGCACAAAACAGTAGCAAGATGTTGCCCAACCATGAGATAAACTCAATGGCTTCAATGGAATGTCTTTCCAGTAGAACTTCGATATTGAAAGCCGTGATCAACACGAAAAATTCAACCCACCAAGCAGAAATAACAAGTTTGATCCCTCTGGATCCTTGTACCAGCAATGTTAAAGAAAGAGCAGCCCAAATCAACCCTCTAAGTAAGTAAGGTAACCATATAAAATGATTCATTCTGTCTTCTTCACCATTTAAATTCAATGAACTAAAGCCAAAATAGGCAAAACTCAACAGAAGACAGAAGATTGTAATGGATGTAGTGGTCAAACCATTCTTTAATTGCAACCGTAAATCAGTTCTCTTTGTAACATAAACAAACAGTAAGACGAGAAAGAATACAAAAGCAAGGAATACATTTAAGGCATCTAACAGAATCCTCTGAAAGCAGGGTGATTTAAAATTAGTCTCAAATTTTCCTTCACAAATGCTGCAGAACAGCCCTGCATGCCAGAATGGGAACACTTTCAGGGAACTGCTAAGCAACAAATATCTAAATTCTGCAAACAAATTTGAGGATGAAAGACATATGATTCACATGAAAAGGAAGAAACTTTCCAGTTTCCAAGCAGCGAGAACTTCATACACAGTTATAAACATAAATGAAGAAATCATCAGAAGCAGGTTCATGAAACAAATTAAGGACAAACCTCGTAGCAAAGACTGTGGGACGACCATCTTTGGAGGATTTTTTTAGCATTCTTTATGGAGATAGTTCTTTATTATAAGTGAACATTCATTTGGATGTTGGACAACCACTTACACGTGGGAACAAATTGATAGCCCGCGTCGCCCAACGTAAATTTTGATCCAATCAGCCATCTTAATAAATTCCGTAAATGATGTAGACTGGCAAGACCTCTGTTCTTCTTCATGGGATTTGGTTTAAAAAAAAAAAAAACGGGAAAACAATAAAAGCCGTGGTAAAATAGGGCTGAGAACTTGAGATATACGTACTACGTTCTTGTCGTAATCAGGCTATAATTTGTTTTGGATCTTGTTTGGTTTAAGGTTTTGTCTTCAACTCAAACAACGACAGGATTTCAGAAGCAGAGTAATTCAGCTTTTGTCTTTTGTATTTTTATTTATTTATTTTTTAACACAAGCGATTTTATAAAAGAAAGCAGTTAGTACAAGCAATCTACAGGCAGTGAGTAATTCATCTTTTGTGGGTAGAAACTAGAAATGTGTACCAGTTCGTGTTTCATATTCAGTATACTATACTTTGGGACGGAGACAGTATTATTATTCAAAAAGTTTTTTCACGGACTTATGAAGTAGGGACCTCAAAGCAGCAGCTTAGGTGGGTATCATTATGCATGATTGAAACTTCAAAGCGATATGATCGAATTTATTTGTCTTTCGGGTTATCTGTTGTTGAATAAAAAAAACTTTCGGACTCACCTAATATCGACTTGATTGAAAGTAAAGCTTTTTGTCGAGTATCATAAGCTGTAAGAGTGTAGACAAAGAGAAAAGAATGGTAGAATGACCGTTAACAAAAACAAACCCAAAATATAGTGAGACCGGTGAGTTGACCATCATCTTCATAAAAGATATTCCCTCCACCTCATAATTAGATCATTGCCTGATTTGCTTTGAAACAATTTCTCGTAAATTTGATAGTACCAATTAGTATTTCTGAAATTGACCGGTATTGATTAATTTTATATGTGTATAGTGGGCCAATCTATGCAAAGGATACATGAAAGAGGCAAGGTGGTACTACGGTGGATACACACCGGGGGTGGAAGAATATCTTGAAAATGCATGGGTTACCATCTCTAATCCAGTCATGTTGATGCATGTTTATGCCGCTATTACCGACTCCATTAACACAGAAGCCATGGATTGCCTTGATACCCATGACATTGTTCGTTGGTCCGGAATGTTAGTCCGATTGGTCAACGATTTGGGTACTGGACCGGTAAGTAACGCTTACCGTTCTGACCTTCCCATAATAATTATTTTGTTTTTTCTCACCCTTATTTTATTTTACCTTTTATATATCTCTCTTTTTTTTTAAAGTTAATGTTTAATTAATCGTTTGAACATATACTATGTACATACACAGGAGGAGATGAAAAGGGGAGATGTGGATAAATTAGTGCAATGTTACGTGAAGGAAACAGGATGTACAGAAGAAGAAGCCAGGGAAAATGTGTGGGGTTTGTACAGACAGACATGGAAGAAGATGAACAAGGAGTGTATGGTAAAAGAATCACCATTATTCTCAAACTCATTTGTTAGAGCTTCAAAGAACTATGGAGGAATGACTCTTGTCCTTTACAAATATGGAGATGGCCATGGTGTTCATTCAAATCCCCACACCACTGATCGCATCCTCTCTTCCATTTTCAACCCAATTCCCCTTTCCTACTAAATTTGTCCTCTGTGCCTCTGTCCTCTGGACCAATATTCAGCTACAAGTTTTGAGAAAAATGAGTTGGCTTGCATCAGCTTTGAGGGTTCATCATACTCCACAAGCTTCCCTACAAAAGTACATAATAATATATGTGATGGATCCAGATTTGTTAGCTGAAAAGTCATTTACTTCCAATCCTAGATTAAATGTTAACATACAGGAAAAAAGACTGAGAGAACTTACCAAAGGAAAGCACCATGACCATATCGCTATCGATTACCGTTGGTAATCTGTGTGCCACAGTAATCACAGTGCAGTTTGAGAATTCTTCTCTGATCACTTTCTGCAGAATGGCATCAGTTGCGGAATCAATGGAAGCAGTTGCTTCATCCAGCACTAAGATTCTGTTCCTTTTCAGCAGTACTCTTCCAAGGCAGAATAGCTGTCTCTGCCCCATACTCCAATTCTCACCTTCATCACTTACTGTGTAAAACAAAAAATCACATATGAACACCAATCATCAGCAAATCATCTTATCCTTGATTTTTTGATTGCTGGGACAATATACAATATCCACTAAAGCAATGTCTGAAATTTTTATACCAGAAGAATCTAACAAGTTTGGGAGTCTATTGACTGTGTCCTTCAGTTGGCATTTCTCCAGAGCCTAGATATGAACAATTAGTTATTTAGTTTGATGAATTAATGCTGTTTTGAAGGAAAAATAAAATAAAATATGGGAGTTGTCTTTCACTAAGAAATTTGCGGAAAGTATGCAAAAGTGTCACTTTTACCTGCCATATTTCCTCATCAGTGTGGAGGCCTAATGGATCCAAATTTGTCCTTATACTGCCCCTAAAAAGTGTTGGATCTTGAGGGATAATGCTGAGCTTCCAACGTAAATCCTTAAGGCCAATTGAGCAAATGTCGATGCCATCTACGATGATTTGACCACTATAAGGCTCAACAAGACGAAACAAAGCGCTAACCAATGTTGTTTTGCCACTTCCTGTCCTTCCAACAACTCCTGTTCTGGTTCCTTCTCTGAAAGTACATGTAATCCCTTTAAGAACTAATGGAGTATTAGGCCGGTATCTTATCTGCAGAAGAAGAACCACATATAAGGTTCGTTTTTATCATGATTGTTTCCCATAAACACAATTTAGGTAACATTCTCACATTCAGTTTCAGCAACTCAATTCTACCCTGGGAAGGCCAAGATGACGGTGGCCTACCGTCTTCCACAATTGCTGGAGGTTCAGGTGGTATGTGCATGAACTGTTTGATCCTCTCCACTGAAATGTAGTAATTAACTAAGGTGCTGTACCAACGCGAGAAGAATATTTGAACCGCAGGAAGCGTGAAAGCATAAGAAAGAGACAGTCCCACAAGCCCTGTCAATGTAGGAGAAAGAAAAAACATTTCATTTCAACAGCCTGGTACTACTAAAGTTCTTATCATGCATTTAGATACAAATATGTACCTGGAGCAACGAATTGCTTTGGATTTGATATCAAGAGAAAAGCAGCAGTGAATAGAGTGAGATTCTGAAGCATTTCTACACGTAAAATGAACCACTCCATCGCAGCATTAGAGAAAAAGAACGCTTTTGCATCAGTGTCCACAAGCTTGAGGTAATTCTGAAACAACCTGTCTGACATTCTAAATGCTCTTATTGTGGCAACTCCAAGTGCTGTCTCAGAAGCATAATTTGTTATGGGAGCTTTTGTGGTTCCATTTATCCGCATAAGTTCTTGTGCAGTGGATTGGTAGTATCCCTTATCATGTAAACGGTGATATTGTGCATCAGAATTTTGAAATTCCAGTATAAAGAGCGGCGAAAGATGCATACTAGGCCTTACCTGAACATATTTGGATGCGATGGTAGCTATGGCTCCCATAACAAAGACCTGCCACGTTACCGAAGCCATAATGCAAATTATTGCAATGATTTCGATGCCAGCAACCAAAACAGTGGCAAAGGCAAAAGGGATGTCAAAATCCAGGACACTGAAATCTGAGGAAGCCTGTAAACAATAAGGAAAAGGATAGTTATTACCAATTTTAGACAGAGATGACTCAGTAACTAACGTAACACACATGGAAGTAAAGACTAAAAACCGACCAACTGTATACATTTTATTGAAATATGATAAAAAGCTCTTGGATCTTTTCTCTTTTCAGATGTAACATCAATCACCAACCATTTCATTTAATGAATTAAAGAGAACTAACTCGTGTCAAGATCCTCCCAACTGGAGTTGAATCAAAAAACATCATTGGAGCATTGAAAATGGAACCGGTGAAACCCGAGAAAAATGCTTTGGAAGCTCTCAATCCGAAGATGGCTGCAAATAAGGATCTCAGATATATGAACAAGGCACTCAGTGTTGCAATGAGAGCATATACAGAAACAATAGTGCAATTGCTAAATTTTGGAGATTGGATAGAAAATGCTAGCCAATAACTAGCCACAGCTTGGAGCCCGAAAAATCCAACTGCAGAAATCACGATGAACACCAACAGAAATTGTGCATTTGAAACCTGAATGTAGTCCAGGAAAGTTTTAAACCCGACATCCCCAATTTCCTTCTCCTCTTCTTTTGTCAACTGTTCTACTCCTGGTATCATGGATGTCTCTTCACCATTCTTTTCTTCGCTTAAATAAGACCGACTTGTATCTTCCAATTTATGTATGATATCTTGTTGAGTTTCATCTTCATTTCTGGTTAGAGGATTAGAGAATGTTATTGCATTTTGATGAGCAACCACAAGTTCTTCAAATATTGTCCCTGCTGTGAGTAATTCTTTATAGCTCCCTGATTGAGTAACATGCCCACCTTTCATAACCTCCATCAGATGAGAAGTTAAACATTTAGAAATCAACTAAATTTCTACAAGAAAATCAACAAGGAAAAATTAATATATCCTAATAGCTACAATAAGATTACCAGAATACGATCAACAGCTGATAGGAACTCTATTTGGTGAGTCGCGAGAATGACAGTCTTATTCGCCAAAGCAGACATCACACAATGCTGAAATGTTAAGACCAAAGTGCTCATCAGATTATCAGATTTTGTTGATTATCATAAGAATGCAGGTCAGAGAAGTGGGCCTTACATTGAAAAGAGTAGCTCCAGTGTGTGCATCCACTGCGCTAAAAGGGTCATCAAGAAGGTATATATCAGCATCACGATAGACAGCCCGAGCAAGTTGAATTCTCTGTTTCTGTCCACCACTCATGTTTATACCTCTCTGACCAATCTCTGTAAGATCACCATACTCAAAACTCTCAATGTCTTTTTCTAAA